AGTATAAATTATGATAGGTACTTAAAAACAAAATATATTTGGAATTCAAGTATTAATAATATGGCATYCATAACAAATTTATTATACTATAAAATATTTGATTTCAAGAAAATAAAACTATACACCATTATTAAATTTAAAACATTTCAATTGAAACTATAGATAAAATAATGCTATTATATTGATTAAGACTTAAAATTATTGAATGATTTAAATTTTTACTGTCAAGAATAAAGCTATTTTGGACGGTTTCTCATTTAACAGGGTATGTAACATTAAGTAATTGAATAACTATTTAATATATAATATATTTTTCAATACAAACATTTAAGATATGTGTCTCATAAACTAACCTTAACGGTAATATTCTTCCAACGTCCAGTTCTAGCTGTTTGTATCATTTTAGAAATCTCATTCTTTATTTCAGGCAARTCAGATAATTTGGGAGGAGTTAACTCTACTTTAGCGTATTTCACAAAAGTTTGTAAGTTGGGTTTGACTGTGGCAATGATTGCTATATAACATAAATTAACACACTATTAAAATAATACTTTTATTTTTGAGATTTAGTTAACGAACTTATACTTACAGCTAACCAAGCTGACTTTCTTTACTGCTCCACTCATTTTGATTAGTTTTTAAATTATAAAATATGCTTAAATTATTGTTAAACACAAAATGAAAACYTTAATGATTAACGGGGTCTTATGACTTTTTTCCWATGGAGTTATAGAGGCCTGYAATACGAACAATGAAATATGAATGTCAGGTCAAGTGATAAAATAACAGCTGTACAACCAGCGAGTGATAAAGACGTTCTAAACATAAGGAAAAGAGTTTATAAACTAATCTAATCAAATTTTAATATTTGGCGCTGAAGTTAAATGTAAAGATTTAAAAATAACTATATAAAAACAAAAAAATTATGCTTAAATAGTTAAATATACTTCTTAGTTATTATTATGTATTATTACTTAAGCATCTTTTATTCATCTAAACAATAGTAACATCACAAACATCAAGTTAAGTATCTTTATTTATTCAGTAGGTAACTTAATTGAAAAGATTTTGGTAAAGGCATTTCCTATGATTGGTTAGACAATTATTGGTATATGAWSAATGATCATAATTCACAAGCAATATATTTTACAATTTCAAGAGTTAAGATTGAACTGTGGACAGTAGTACCTATTATTAAAGCAATTTTTTCTATTATTTAAAATAATTTGTTGTTTAATATATGTATATAATTATTTATAGGTTTGCAGTTATTAATAGGCTGAGTTAATTTTTTATTGTAATTTTAAAAGGATTAACTGTGGGCATTTTTGGCCAAATGGGTTTTTATATTGGCAATTTCTATACATGATATAATTTTCAAAATATGTTGGATCTTTTTGTGCTATCAAAAACATTTTCAAATTTCTACTTTTTATAGTTCTATATGTGGTACTAATAAAAAAAAAATATCACATTAATATCACTTTGTGGTAGTGATTTTTTGTGTCAATGATGTAACTCCTAATAAAATAAACCTTATGTTAAATTCTTAACCAATTTAATCTGCTTTCATATTTAATCAAACCCCAAGCT